GGCAGAGATGCAACAGAGACAGAGCACTTTTAAGCCTCACTAGAAAATAGTAGCCAAGGAAATGATCCAGATGAGCCACCCAGGAAGATCACTGAGGAATCACAGATCTGCTGGCCCACATCAGGAACCAAGGGACTGAAGGAGACACATGGTCATGTGAAGAACTGCCTGGCCCAATGGAAGGGAAAGAGCTCTTTGGGCAGAGGAACTTCTCCATACTCCAGGAAACGCACTTTTCTCCCACCCCTTTTCCTGCATCCAGAGCGACAGAGCTGGACTTCATGTGTTTTCACAACGCAGAGGACTGTGAAGGCAGCAAGCAGGGAACACCACCACCTTCTCACATCCATGCACTGGGAACCTCCACCACAGGCAACTTTTGGTGTGATGTTTTAAAAACTACAATTTACCAATACTCCCAAGAAAACATCAGTTACTGGATCTATTTTAGTTCCAACAGCCAGTATTGAGGTGATCTAAGTTTTCCAAATATTGTTAGAGATGTGTCCACATTTGCAAACAATTCAAGACAATGTATTTTAAGGTGATCTTAATTCTCTCTATAATGAAAACCAGACATTAATGAAATAATCCCCCTTACTACACATACTGCTTCTACCAAAAGTGGTCCAAGAGGTAGCACTTATATTCACCAACTGAGTGAGCACATAGAAAGGATGTTGCACTACTTTGCTTTCTAAAAAAAGGGAGAGCCCAGGCATGGTGGCACATGCCTATAAATCCCTGAATTCTAGGAGGCCAAGGCAGGAGAACTCGAAGTTTGAGCCAGCTTTGGAAGCTTCAAAGAGATCCTGTATCAAAATACCCTTAAAATTTTTTCTGGTGACCTTGAATTTGGCAATGAGTTTTTCATACATTAAAGACATAGTACATGAAAGAAAAATTGGTAAGTTTAACCTGTACATTAAATTAAAACCTTACCCTGTAACCGGGCATGGTGGTGCACACCTGTAATCCCAGCACTTGGGAGGTTGAGGCAGGAAGATCACTGCGAGTTCGAGACCAGCCTGGGCTACTTAGTGAGTTCCAGGTCAGTCTCAACTACATAGTGAGACCCTGTCTCAAAAAGACAAAAAACAACAACAAAAACCAGAACAAACTCTACCCTGTGAAGACACAAGAGAATTAAATGACAATCACAAACTAGAAGCCAGGCAGGGTGGCACATACCTGTAATTTTGGCACTTGGGAGGCTGAGGCAGGAGGACTGCTGTGAATTCAAGCCCAGCCTGGGCTACATAGTTGAGTTCAATTTTAGTATATGTGCTACCGAAGCAAGCACATACATAGTTGAGTTCAAGGCCACCTACACTATATAGCAAAACCTTGTCACAAACCCCTTCAAAAAGGAAATCCCCAGTACCCCCCCCAAAAAAAATAACTGGAAGTACTAGAAGTTCCTCAACAGGGGAATGGATAAACAAACCATAACACATCCATCCACACAATTAAATATTATTCAGCAACTGAAAAAAATGAGTGCTCAAGCCAGAAACAGACATGGGTGAAGAATTTTAAACACATATTACTAAGTATAAAAGACAGTTTACAAAAATGAAATGCTGTATCACCCCAAATATCTGACATTCTGGGAAAAAAAAAACTATACAGTACAAAGGAGCAGTCACCAGGGTTTTGGGGAGAATGAACAGGTGGTAAACAGAAAAATGTATAAGGTGCTGCAACTATTCTTGACACTATAATTATGGGAAGACCCCAAAAACTCCACCAAAAGACTTTTAGATTTGATTATCAAAGTCAGTGGTGTGGCTGGATACAATGTCAAAGCTCAAAAATCAATAGCGCTCCTGTACACCAATAAGAGACCCACTGGAGAGAAATGAGAGAAACAATCCCTTTCACAATAGCATCCAAAAAAAGAAGAGAAATACCTAGGAATCAATCTAAGGAAGGAAGTAAAAGATCTCTACATTGAAAACTACAGTACTCTGAAAAAGGACATTTAAGAGGATATCAGAAAATGGAAACATATCCATTGTTCTTAGATAAGAAGAACCAATATAGTGAAAATGGCCACACTTCCAAAACTGTTACAGAGATTCAACACAATCCCAATCAAAATCACAAACGTGTATCTCACAGAATTAGAAAAAAAAATCCTAAAACTCGTTTGGAACCAGAAGAGACCTCAAATAGCAAAGGTAATTCTGGGCAACAAAGGCAAGGCAGAGGGCATGGCATCCCAATCCCTCACAAGTAAAAGGTCCCCAGTTCAATGCCTGACACAGAAAAACCCCAGCATGGTACTGGCAAAAGAGCAGATATAAGGATCAAAAAACAACTCCAGACATAGTCAACCACCTTATCTTTGACAGAGGGGCCAAACACCTCCACTGGAAGATAGCCTCTTTAATAAATGGTGCTGGAAAAACTAGCTTTCCACATGTCAAAGATTGAAACTAGACCCATATCTTTCACCACACACAACCTAAAATCGAAATGGATCAAAGATCTAAATGTTAAAACAGAAATATCACACCTGCGGGAAAAGAGAATAGGTAGAACGCTTGAGGACATAACAACAGGCAAAGACTTCATGAACAAAACCTAGACTGCACGGAAAATACTACAAACAATCAACAACTGGGACCTCATATTATTAAAAATCTTCTGCACAGCAGGAGAAACCACCAATAGTGAAGAGACAACTCACAGTGTGGGAAAAAACTTACCAGCTATTCATCAATTAAAGGACTATTATCTAGAATTTGTAAAGAACTAAAAAAAACACACAAAAAAAGACACCTCCCCCAAAGACAAGACTCATCCAAAAATGGGCATCTGAAATGAAAAGACACTTAGATGAACAATTAGAAACAGCAAATAAATATGAAAAAATTGTTCAATATCACTGGTCATTTGAGAGATGAAAATTAAAACAATGCTGAGATTCCATCTCACTCCAGAAAGAATGGCTGCTATCAAGAATCAACCAGGCCAGGGATTTAGCTCAGTGGTGCCACCACCTGCCTCACAAGCACAAGGTATGAGTTCAATCTCCAGTACCAAGAAAGAAAGAAAAGATTTTAAGTATTGTGGGTTTTAGACATCTGAGATAGTCTAATAATCTTCACAAGAAACCTACACACCTCTTTTACACATAAGACATTAACCCTAATTTGTCCAAAGTCATAGCTAGAGATATGTTTATGAGCAGAAACTCAAGTCACAATCCTTGGTAAACTACTTAATAACTTGTTATCTTGGCTGAATTACTAAACTCTGAGCTTCAATTTCTTTATCTCCAAAATGATAACAGCATCTACCCCTTAGGGTTGATGTATACATAAAATGCATCTAATTAAAACATTTAAACACATAGAACTCCAAGTGTTCTTAATTGAAAATGTATATTCTTCTTTTTTGGGACAGGGTCTCCTTATGTAGTCCAGGCCAGCCCTGAACTCAAGGTGATCTTCCTGCCTCATCTTCCCATGTGCTGGCATTACAGGCATGCTCCATAATACCGGGCTGCACAGCTTTGTAAAAGTAGATCTACGACCAGGGATTTGGCTCAGTGAGTCCACTGCCTGCCTCACAAGTACAAGGAAGGTCCCAAGTTCGATCCCAGATACCAAAAAAAAAAAAAAAATCTATACTGCCTTATTCACTTTTTGGATCATTGTTTTCATTGACAAAATAAACAGTAGGTTTAGGATATGAATACTCAAAATATGCTAAATTTATTTAAAATTTTTAATTTTACAACTCAGTCAAGCTTAATTTAAAAGTACTTTTGGCCAGGAGTGGTGGTGCATGCCTGTAATCCCAACACTCAGGAGGCTGAGGCAGGAGGATTACTGTGAGTTCGAGACCAATCTGGACTGCATAGTGAGACCCTGTCTCAAAAAAAAAGTACTTTTGTGGCCTCGAAAGTGCAAGGTCCTGAGTTCGATCCCCAGTCCCGCCCGCAAAAAAAAAAAAACACAAAAAAAACCCACAAAAAACAAACTTCTGTTGCCATAATAAACATTCACCCAGAACTTACCTGCTAAATTTTACAGTAAGCTATATAGATTAAAACAATGCAGAAGCACTTCTGTGATATCCTAGGCACTATGAGCTGCCAACTCTATTGGCACTGTTCATTACAATTTTCAAAAGTTTCTTATCTACCACCAGAGGCATCCGGAGACTACCATTCTTATTTAAAACGGTGGGCTCCAAAGGGGAACTTAAGCGAGGTACCATGCTGAAGCCACAATTCAAGTCTCAGAAACCTGCATTTGTATGCATCAACTATCATTTCATTCCCTTAAACTATCTACAAGCAAGCCGAACTCTAACTCAAAAGATGCAATGATGTGATTGCCAAAACTGCAGCATTGTCAAAACATTTAGGCCTTGTGGCCCCTGGAAGATAGAGCCAACTGAACTGCTGTGTTAAGATAGTAGTAAGGTGGGGGAGTAGAGATGGTGACATCCATTTTCAGACGTTAGAAAATTTGTTTGGGCAATGCCTGTGATGTATTCTCTGCGTTCACTCTGAGCCTTCTTATGAGCCAGTTACCTTGCTCATTTGTGCACTGTGGTTGGTATAAAAGAGAAAGCCCACGTTTCTTTACTTCTACTCTAAGTTTAATTAAAGCAGATATACAACATGGCATTGATTCTACTCCTGATTCTCAAATATTGGTGGAAAAGATTTAGATATAAAAAGATTGTAAGGATCAATACAATGTTTCCTCTTAAAAAAAAAAAAAAAAAAACTTTAAAGAATCAAGCAACTCTATTTCCTAAATTGGAGAGACTTTGACTGCGGTTCACCTTTGTCCTCTTCAGCCTTCCCTTTCAGTTAACCGTTCCTACACAGCAGTCACTACTGTCACCTCCAGCAGTCAATTCACAAGGTCCAGTTTCTCCCTCCCGCTGCCATAAATGTGACTTCTGGGCCTGAGATACCGGATTTAGCCAACTCAAAGTCCCAGGCATTATAATTTATTACAATAATTACTTACTGGGTAGTTACTATAGATCAGGTCTCTCTGTCCTATTCTGTACACATATTTATTTAATCCTCACAAGTCCACCATTATACTGCTGGCTATGTCATAAAAATAAGGAAACTGTCCAGATTCACTTAGCATCAACCGATCCCGCGGAGCCGAGGCGGCCGCGCGACCTTCTGGACGGACCCGCCAGGGCTGGGGCGCTGCTGCTGGACGTCGGGA